GGTCTTGCTCGGGTCGGTCCCTATCTGCTCGCTGTGGAGAAGGCGCCTCGGGCGAGGCTCGATGTTTGGCGGAGGGAACATGTTGATGCTAGTGATGCTCGTGTCTTGCCGGTGAACTACGCACCTGTTGGAGAGTGCCAGCGACCTTGGAGCAGTGTGGCCGAGAGCGTGAACGAGAGCGCGATCGACTACTGGCCTATCAGGGTGCCGAGAACTGCTATGTGGGTGGCTCGTTTCATGGCTCGTCGCAACACAGGCCCGGAGGATCATCGCATGTGGTGGCGGTCAACGCCGGCATTTACTGCTGCTGACTGGGGGCTTGCCGAACACGCCCAACTTTGCGGATATCTGGAGGCAGCAGGCTGCGTCGATCAGCTGGACTTGTCTGATCTCGTCGTGATAGAGAAGATAGCTCGCCGACTACAGACAATTGAGTATCAGTATGCGGAGAAGCTCCGCGATGGAGAGCGAAGAGGATCTGCAGGTGCGGTGTTGTCGGTCGCGGGGTCCGCCGTGATTGCTACGGAAGAGGAGATGGATCTGCTTGAGGCGCGCCAACATGTGAATCCGACTGTCTGCTGCTCGCCAGCTCTGGTGGAGCACGTCGGTAAGGAGCTGGGGGAAGAAATGCAGATCCAGAAACAAGCCAGGAAATCACGAGAAGAACGAGCCCTTGTCCGTCAGCTCCCAGGCGGAGGAGGTGGCCGTGGTGGGGGCGGGAAGTCATGAGCTCGCGCGTGGCTGCAGGGGGCTGCCTCCCTCGGCAGCCGGCAGTGCGGAGAGGCCCGCTGCCTCGCGTTGAGGCGGCTAATTCAAGATGCGCGCCGGGTCGGCCACCAACATCGCTGGCGACAGATAGCAGTCTTTTAATTACTCGGGCGAAAGCATCGGAGAAAACGTATCCGAACAGTGTTGTTAGAAGGCCCCCAGGGCTGAGCAGTCTTCCTGTCTCTCCTGAGCAGTGGTTGAGGGGGCTTAGTTATGATGCGGCCTCCTTTCTGCTAGGTGGCGCTCCCGCTGCTCCTGCTGGCGCCTCTGACTATGTTGGCGGGGGCAGCGTTGGGCGCCTCCGCGAACGTTGCAGCAAAGTGGCCCACCCCCAGCATATGTTCAGCTGGCCGAGGTTTTTCCGAGCATCAGCGGTGTGTGTGTGTGTGTGACTATTCTGGCGAGAGCTCGCCAGCAGTCTCTTGGGCGAGTCTCTGCTCTCGCTTCGGCCAGTAGGGGCGGCTCCCATAGACGCGCGCCAACTTTTGGGCCCGAATGGGCGTGGGGAAGTCCAAGATGAGCGAGCACGTGTTGCAAAACTCTGTAGGCTCGCAAAGTTTTGAGGCGAGCGGAATGAAGATATGCCATGATCCCGGTTTGCGCAGGTCTGCTCGTCGGTGTGCTTCGGTGTTGCAGATTGGGTTTTTTACGTAACATGGTTGAATTTGTGCAAGAGGAGGGAGTCGCTTGCGTGGGACTTTATGCTGTGCGCAAGAAAAGTGGCTCCCGGCGTTTGATTGCCGACTGTCGGCAATCCAATGGCTTTTTCTCGAGTTGTGACCGCGTCGAGCTTCCGGCGGCTGGAGACTCGTCTCGGCTGCGACTTGATGCGGGAGAGCAGCTGTATGTATGTCATTGCGAGTTAAATAATGTTTTCCTTCAGTTCGGACCCCCCCGAAATGCGGAAATTCTTCCATCCGTCCCCCATCGAGGCGACATGGATGAAGGAGCTGTTTCCCGACATTCAGTGCACCAGTGGCGTGGTCAGGCCTCGGCTTACTATCGTGCCAATGGGCTGGGTGCGCGCGCTGTTTTCCAGCTCCTATCTTTTGCGTGATTACAGGCCGACTGGGGGCATGACAAAAATGGATGCGTCTCATTGTATGTTGGCGACGTCGGAGGTTTCTCGAGTTCACCTGGCGCGTGTCGTGAGCGCACTAATTACCCGGTCGCTGGAAGCTGTTCGGGCTGTGGGATTGGAAGCTCATGAAGTCGATGTCATCGCGGTCGGGGGGGGTCTTCTCGGTCTCAGTGTTCCAGGAGAAGGGCGAATGCTACGGCGGCGGGAAATGAGGTGGAAGGTGTGGCTCGCGTTGGAGTTTCTTCTCAGGAGGCGGAGGTGCTCGGGGAGGTCGCCTCCTAATTGGGCCACGTCGCCCGCCGGGCGATGCTTCGTCGTGAATGTTGCCTTGCTTTCGGGCCGTGTATGTGTTCATCGAGAAGAGCCCAGATAGTCCGAGTACGCTGTGGCCTGCCGTGTTGCGGGAGCTGCGGCGGGCTCGGGCGTTGCTTCCGTCGTCGGAGCGCGATCCCGCGAAACCGTGGGGGCCCAAAGCCTATGCTTGTGATGCGTCGCCGTCGGGTCTTGGGATTTGCATTTCTCGTCCGCTCACAGAGATTGGATGAGGCTATCAGATACTCCGATAGGTGGCATTTTCTTGGAGGAGGTCGCGTAAACCCCAGAGGTGCTGCTTGATGGGTTACATGAGGAAGGGGAGGTGGAGGAGATCGC